ATATATGTATATTAAAAAGATGGACATTGATTTCCAAACCCACACCCCGCTGTCAGCTCCTGCCGAGCGCCCGGTGCCTCTCGGGAGGTGCGGAGCACGCCCAGGCACCCGGCCCCCCGCGGCTCAGGCCCCGAGAAGTCTGCACGGACGGCGGACCCAGGAATCGCGTTCCTGCGAGAACGGTCTCCTGCGTTTCCCTGCGGCCTGGTCTCCTTCCAGCCGGGCGCAGTGCCTGCTCTATCTCTGACATGCATCTCAGCTCCGTGGCATCTCTCCCCCTGCAAGTCTCTCTTTCTACCCTACCAAGAATTACAAACCCCAGGGGCTCGAGACAAAAAGCCTGGATTCCAGGAGTGAAGTCAGTTCCTCGTTTGTTTTGTTTTAAAAAAAAGGGAGGGGGTGGCAGTGAGGCAACCTGATGGGAAGTTCCTGCAGCCGGCGTACGGACAGCAAGGCCACAGCACCCATCGAAGAGCTAAGGATCTGGTTTTAAGCAGCCTGTCCAAGCTAGACAATGCTCACTACTCGACAAGGAGAGCACCGGCGCGCACAGCTCAAAAAAAGGACACTCTAGATTTGCACATGCACAGAAAGCACGAACAGAGATGAGCCACCCTACGGGCAGACACTGCAGGTCTACGGAAGGAGATGAACAGGCACAGGGGACACGCGCACCTCGCGCATGCATACACCGTTGCGCACACTGACAGCCAGTCAGATTTCTGTTTTTGACTTAGAATTTTTCAAGCTTAAGAAAAAGGAGGGAAACGGTTTCATGAAGCTGATAAACTGTTCAGGCTCAGCCTCTCAGAAGGGAGCACCATTTGTTTTGCAAATGCTTTTTCCGCATTAACATGCCAGTCCCTGGAAAAATCCTCAGAGTACGGCAAGAAAACCTTCCTTTTCCCTTCCCACTCCCAGCACCTAAGCACCCCGGCCTCAAACACTGCCAACGGGTGCACCGCGCGCACTGAACTTTACAGGGATTTCCATTAAAGAAACAAGAGTTACGATCATGGCTGAGATCCCTCAGGTTAAGTCCCTCTCAAGTCTTCACGCTGTCAGGAGGTGATCATAAAAGATTTCTGATTGTTTCATACCCAAGCAGGGAAGAGAGCAATTCAATAGGCTCCGTCACCCCACCTAGCAGCCTGTAGGTCACGCTGTCTGGTTGGTAGCAGTAGATTGGGCAGAAACACGAGGTAGGCCTCCATCACACGTCTACTCTAGCATGGCAGCTTTTGTGCAGTTTCCTCCTGCTGGGGCTCAGAGCCTAGATTTTCACATCTTCCTGGACACTGAGCTGTGAGAGGGTTTTCTTAATGCGGAGGGCGGTGAGTCGCGCCGCTCCGTTGGCGTACCAGCACTCTCGCATCATCTTACCCATCACCCGTAGTGCCTAGGCAAGAAACAAGGGCAGATGTCAGCGCTCTCCTCCTCCCCGGCCCCAAGTCGGTCTCTGCCAGGCTGCTGCCGCCTGGTTGGACACTGATACAGACCTCCACACCTCCTAAAATCGGAGCTCAACTTACAGTACTTCCTCTTTACTCACCTTATCGAAGGAGAAGGGGATGCGAAGATGAAAGCAGACCTTACCTCGTAGCTTTGCCACCAGTTCGGGATATTAGGCCGTAATTTCTGATCGCATACGACCTTCCGCATCTCCTCAATAGAAGGATCGGAGGGTACAAGGTCATAGTACGGAAGCTGATACTCTTCGTGGATACCTGAAAGGCAGAGAAAGGGGGAATGCAGTTCTTGGGAGAGGGGATCATCAGCACAGCGCTCACTGAAGGCGGACTGATACTGGTTTGGACTACATGACTCATTGCCGAGATGCGTCAACACTTTGCAGTTATTTAGAACAGAAATGAAGAATCTGGGATTTGAGTTTACAAGAAAAATTCAGGGAAATAAAATGCAGCTGCCCAAACTGGAACAGAGTCAGCGTGCTGCAATCAACACCTCCCAGCACAGAGGCAGGGTCATCGAATCTCGACTGAGCCGAAGGCAGCAGGACCGTCACATGCACGACGGTGCTGCGCTCCTGCCTGCGGCTGGATGTGCCGAGACACTCATGCTGATTCAGGGGAAGAAAGTTACCCAATAAATCAGCACCATCGCTTCCTTAAAATCCATCCAAAGGAACATCAACCACCAGTCAGAGCATTAACCCCCACTTCCCCCCATGAGCCAGTCTTAACAGCGGTCACGGGTCGCTTCTGTTAACTCCCTCGGCAGCAACACGCATGGACATATCTTCCCGCAGCCCTGTCCTCCAGGGTCCCCTCAAACCGCAAACACCCGATCAACAGAAACCACCAAGGCTGAGAAACCCAGGAGGAAGCGGAGCTGATGGCACGGGCGCACCAAGGGTATTACCTCCTGCGTTGCACCTTCGAGCAATCTCCCAGTAGACCAAGCCCAAGGCGTAGATATCGGCACATTTAAACGAATCAAAATGCTTCATGTTAATGGTTTCATCCAAGACTTCAGGGGCCATGTATCTGCAGAACAGAAAAGGAATGGCATGTTAATTTTGAGAGGGGATTCTCCAGGAGATGGTAAATGGCAGGTTTTCCCACACAGCACTTCTCAGCAGACAAAACTCCGCTCTGCACAGCCTTAATCAGAACAGAACTGGGCCCCATGGTCTAATAGAGTGAACAAAATAACTCAAAAAGAATAGCAAGTTGGGAAAGAGGTACAAACATCCAAAAGCACATCAGGCTCCAGACAGCAGGCCCCAAAAGGCTTTTGAGAATGCCAAGCCTGTTGTCAAGTATTGTATGAGCTCCCTGGTGCCGAGTTTACATAGCTGGCCTACACCTCTCAGCTTGATGGCACCTGGAGACGAAGGTACTGACGTCCCTTCAACATCAATCTGGGCACAATGCTGACACTCTGCGAGACACTTGGAAATGCTTAAGACAAAGAATTTCACCAGTGCTCAAACAGCGAGCGGCTCAGGCATTTGCTAGTCACACTCCGATGCCTTCGAATGCTGGCCAAGAACATTGTTCTCCTACCGTTTGGTGCCGACCCTTTGATTCGGTGCAATATCAATCGTATCCGTAACCGAATCATGCCGGACGGCCAGACCCAGGTCAGCGATGGCGCACGTGCCGTTCTTCTTCACCAAGATGTTCTTGGATTTCAAGTCTCTGTGAGCAATCCCAGGCTTTCCTAACAGAGCAAAATAAAAAGAAGCAGGGGTCAAGGTCTGGTGAAATCTCTTAGTCAAACTGGCGCAGAGGCAGTACCGGATTTCAGGGCGTTAGTTAAACTCTCAGTGTTGCAACACATTTTCCTGTTTGGATACGCTTCAGCGCCGAAGAACAGAGCAGCGCTGACAGCCCGTGGTATGCAAAGGCTCCGCTTACGCTTCCGAGGCACTGCCGGTGCAGTAGCACCCAGAGGCCTCGAGAGGGACATAAACTCCATCGTCCCAGGCATCAGACACATTGGTGCGGACATAAGGAGTTTATAAATCTGCTGCTGCCTGTGCTAACATCCCACCCAAGCAGCACCAATTTTAGGATGGGGATGTGAAATGCTGATATAACTCCCAGGAGCCAGCGCAAAGCTAACCCACTTTGCAGCCAGCCAAAGCAATCAGTCTATTTCTGGTCAATATGGACCAGACAAATCTGGGCTAACTCAGCCCGTGTTTTCCGTGCAGCACATCAGTCCTGCTCATCAATTCTGCTTTATTCTCCCCTCAAAAATTCCCCAGACTTTTTCAAACTTTGCTCTTACCCTGAGTACCCACAATCTCCATGTGTAGATGGGCCAGCCCGCTAGCAGCGGACAGGGCGAGCTTGATCATCCCCTCGATAGTCACTGTGTATCGATTAAGGTAATCAAAGAGAGATCCATGCTCGTGGTAATCAGAGACGAGCCACAGCTGAGTCCACGTGCCATTATCTGCAGCAGGAAAAGACTGTGCTCAGACAGATAGAGCGCAGGGACAGCACACAACCGTCGCGCGTTTTTGCACCCTATCTTTCTGGTACAGAGGAGAGCTGCTGGGTAAGGCTGCAGCTCAACAGCCAACCTGGGGGCAAATAAGGTAAAGAACTTTAAGGCAAAACACGACTTTGTAAGGTACAGCTAATGCACCATCGTGCCTCTCAACACCAGCAGTAATTTTACCATCTTTTGGTGAGAAATATTCAAACGTAGCTATTTGAAAAGCACGCTGACAGTTTTAACCATTTAATCATAAATGCAAGTGAAGAAATGCAGCTCCCAAGAGCAGACTGCACCCTGGTGAAGTCTCTGTTCTCAGGACCGAGGCACTTTTTACCTTTGTTATCGGCAGCAATAAATCCCAGGATGTTCTCATGTCGCAACATAACGGTCTGATATATTTCCGCTTCTCTAAACCAGGAACGCTCTTCACGTGAAGAGAAGATTTTTACAGCTACGTCACCTCCACGCCACCTGCCACGCCACACTTCCCCAAAGCGGCCTTTACCAATGATCTCCTGAAGGACAATTGTCCGAGCCACAGTCCGCTGGACAAAAAGCGGCAAACCTACGGACAAGAAATTGGAGGAATGAATCCCCGTTGCAGCAAAAGAAACTCCTGAAAACCTCGCAGTCCGAAGTAGAGCATCGTCAAACCTAGAAGGCTCTACAGTTGGTAACAACCAGCAGCCTAAGCAAGACCCAAACCAGCAAATGGTGGTAGCTCCTGCGTAGGACGTGCCATTTGGCTGCCTGGGCAGCATCTGCGTATCACTTTGAAGTAGCTTGCAAACTGCCAGCGATTAGGCACAGAGCAGCTGGGGAACTTCTGCTCTATGGCAGATCAAAGTTACTTTAGCCTGAATATGCAAAGAGTGGAACTCGTTGAAGACAGACTCGGCTAAAAAGCAGTAAAGCCCCAGAACTTCTCTTAAGAAAGGAGTCCTAACATAGCTGCCACCTCTTACGTAAGCTACAGAGCTCACCTGCTGAGTGTGTACAGAATACATCCCAAAACATTTTATATACAGCAGATGTGGTGCTAAAGGTTTATTCCCTGCTCAAATATCAGGATGTTATATTCTCTGCCTCTGTGGATTATCCTACGGTTTCCATCTGCTGCAAAATCCATTTTCTTTTTTTCAAACCTAACTGCTTCCATAGTTCAAAGTCACGAATAAAACGGTGACTTCCCTATCTATTCTGGGGATGGTTTCTTTTAAGTGCTCCAGAAGTGAACGCTGTACATTGCCCACTTGGGAAGACCCAAGGATCCTTTGGGATGAAATGGGCTGTGCAAATGCAGTGTTTGCACACTGTAAAATTTTCAGCTGCTGGGATCTTTCCCATTTTCCTGCCAGCTTTGATGCAGGTGATATCCTGCATCCTCCTCTGAAAGCCAACAACCCACAGGTTAGCAGTTAACGTCTGTTTCCAACCCAAATCCAGTTCCAGGGCTAAATTTGAAATAGATGTAGCCATTTGAATTATCCTCTTGCAGAAAAGGACGAAAGCTACACAAATCTGTTTCTACCCATCAGCAGTTACAGGAGATGAACTATTGCTCTTACCTAGCCTAAGCACTGAAGACTGACACGGGGCCGTGGCTACAGCATCTACTGCATGACTGAATTTAAAGCACGCCCTCTGCATTACTCATGACAAGGCAACCTGAACAGGCTGACGATGCAACAGCCTCAGAGCCCTGCAAAGCTGTGGCAACGAGAAGCCCAGAGCAGACTACAAGTTCTCATTCGTCATTTCCAGTCATATCTTAATACCTGAACCAGAGCCAGAGGTGGAGAGATCGTAGACTAGATCTTGCAAGGTCTTATCCTTCGACAGGCACATTTCACAAGAGGGGTCTTCCATGTCCAGCCGTTGACGATTGTGATAGACTCGTTGGTGGTGATGAAAAACAAAGACTACTATGATCATGACAACAAACACAAGGAAGACAGGTCCGGCAATCACTGCCACCAGCTCCACAGGACCCCAGCTGGACGGGGGTTCGTTATCTTTCAGGTGTCCTTGAGAGGAAAGGGAGGAGAGAAACAGCCACTTTTAGAAAATTATCACTCTTTCAAAAGCCTTCTTTAAGGACTTTCTTCTTGTGTTTTAATTATCCTCTCGGAGCCTGGACAATTTTAGCTGGCTGTTCCAGGATGGTAGAGGACACATCAAATAACAGCGCTAACATGGGACTGATCAAGTCATCAGGCAGGCAAACTACAACTAGAACCCCCAGAAGAAGATGGTGCTTCAACCATGGGATCAGGGGTTATTAGCACTTGCTGTTTAAAAGAGGACGGGAGCCTGTTCTGGGCTGAATTTGCTAGAACATCCTGCATTTTACCTTCCAAAGAAAAACCATTCACTCAATAAGGAGTCATTTCTCCCTCTTTCCC